AGTGCAGTTATAGTGGAAGTAGCAATAGTTGTTTTAATACTTGCAACAGTGTCAGTAGTATCCATTACCACACAGTAAGAGTGGTAATGTGTACAGTTGTAATTTCAATAGAATTGATTATAGTAATGGAAGTAGGTTATATATACAAATATATATATATATATATATATATATATATATATATATATATATATATATATATGTAAACATATATATACATAAATATGTATGTATACATATATATATATATATATATATATATATATATATATATATATATATATATATATATATATATAGGTCGTTATAGGTTTCCCACATAGGCGTCGAATGGTCAGAACGAAGAGGTAGACTAATACGGCCGTGAATAATTTCATGTTTATTCGCAAACGTTTCAGAGATACATCCAATCTCTATCATCAGTGCTGTAAAATTGAGCCAAAAAATGCGTGTATTAGACAACATAGACGAAACAAATTACAGAGGTTCTCTAAATTAAAGTTAAAATACACCCAAACAGACGGGGTACCTATGGGCTCCCCACTTGGACCTTCATATGCCAATACTTTTCTCTGTCACCACGAACAAAACTGGCTCAAACACTGCCCACCTGAGTTTAGACCTATTTACTACCGTCGGTATATTGACGACACATTCGTATTATTTAAAGACCCCTCGCATGTAAACTTATTCCTAAATTATCTTAACTCTAAACACCCAAGTATTAAAATTACCTTTGAAATGCAACAGAATAACCAACTACCCTTTTTAGACACCTGTGTTACCAATGATAATGGCCGTTTCCATACTAGCATTTACCGTAAACCAACCTTTACTGGCCTCGGCCTTCATTTTCTCAGCACTATCCCATATATTTATAAAATCAACAGCATAAAAACACTCATCACTAGAGCCTATAATCTATGTAGCAATTGGTCCACTTTTCATGATGAAATGAATTTTCTAAAAAACTTCTTTGTAAATAATGGGTATCCATTATACCTATTTGATAGAATAACAAAGACCTTTCTTTGTAAAAAATTCTTAGATCATCCTGTTGTACCAACTGTTAAAAGGGATCATAGATATGTAAAACAGCCATTTATGGGAAAATTAAGTTATGAAGTTAGAAAATAATTAAAAATGCTCCTACAAAACAATTACCCACAAATAAAATTCACTTTTGTCTTTAGTAATTATAACACTATTGCAAATTTCTTAAAACAGCCTACGAGATCCCACTCTGATTTGTGTTCCAATGTTGTATATTTATTTACCTGTCCTGACTGCCAAGTTAGGTACGTGGGGTCCACCTCACGATGGTTATGTCACCGCATAATGGAACACAAAGGCAAGTCTTTTCGTACGGGACTACCGCTGAGCAGACCATCTTTCTCGGCCATAAGAGAGCACTCTCACCAACACTCACATCCTCTCTCTAACACAGATTTCAATATTCTGTCTTCTCATTCCTCCCGCCTAGACCTCATCATCTCCGAATCGTTGTTATTCCGGAAGATGAAACCTGAACTCAACAACAATACTACCGCAACCACCCTGTACACTAGTTAGCCGTTCTCATCCCCCTGTCCTTCACCCATGTATTAGACAGGTGCTTGATTTTTTACACTCGGTGGCAAAGGTTCATATATGTTTTTTTTTTTTTTAATTTGAATTGTCGATACGGTGTGAATATGTATATACACACAAGTGTATATATATATAGATATAGATATAAATATATATATATATATATATATATATATAGATAGATAGATAGATAGATAGATAGATAGATATAAATATATGTAATACTGATATTATATGTTTGCCTGTAGTTCGTCTATCCGGCCGTTTGCATATCGCATTTGGTTGTAGCTTTAAAGTTTCTTCTTCAGGAAAGGTAAAGACAGAGGTAGAGGGAAAAGAAAAAGGAGATGGGAGAGGAAAAGTAGGAGGGTGAAAGACGGAGGGAAGAGTACCTTTTATTTATAGTTTTTTGTTTGTTCCCGCTAGTATATATCTAATATATATCTAATATAAATACATAATTATGTATCCATTTCATATATTGTGTATATATGTATATATACACACAAACTGATAAATACACGCGCGCACGTGTGTGCATATGTATGAATGCATATATATGTATATGTATATGTATATGTATGAACGCATATATATATATATATATATATATATATATATATATATATATATATATATATGTATATTTATATATATATATATTTATATCTATATATATATATATATATATATATATATATATATATATATATATGTATATATATATTTATATATGTATATGTATATATATACATATACATATATATGTATGTATATATATATATATATATATATATATATATATATATATATATATATATATATGTATATACTTTATATATTTATGTGTATATGTATATATATATATATATATATATATATATATATATATATATATATATATATATAGGCATATCCATAATTACATAAGTGTACACACGCGCACACACGTGTGTATGTGGCATTGCAGTGCAGTGCTTCGACTGGTACTCCTCGAGTCTGGATAAAGGATAAAGCAGAGAAGCGAAGCTGAACTTCGCCTTGGCTGTGTGTGAAGGGAGCCCGGCCTGTGCCGACTCGATTAGTGTGGCAGCTGTCGCTGATTCGACTGATCTCAGCCTTCCCCCACCTGGTGCTCAACCACAGCGGTGATCTCCAGGCGATGCAACCCCCCGAGCCCTTGCATGAGAGGCCACCACAACGATGCAAGGCCGAAGGCAACGAACCTGGAAGTGAATTTTATTTGCTTGGCATTTTCTGAGTGGAGAGGTCGGTCTCTAACGTCGGCTGTGACTGGTTTAAATAATTTCACAAATATCTAGTACAAGAAAAAATCTGACTGAGGAAATATCAAAATGTTATAACTATTTGAATTACAGAACTGAAGAACAATGATTGACTTTTATCTGCAACAGTTATCTCTGAAAACAACAATATTTCATAGACTTTATAACTGCGCCCAAGCAATGCTTGCCACCTACAGTGAGACAGTAAAATGTATATATTATATATATCATATAATATAAATGTATATATTATATATATCATATAATATAAATGTATATATTATATATATATATATATATATATATATATATATATATATATATATATATATATTATATATATACATATATATATATATATATATATATATATATATATATATATATATATATATATATACTTACATATATACACTGTATATATGAATACATGTATACACACTCACACACATATGTATGTGTGTGTGTGTGTTATTATGAGAGTACAATTTCAAGCACAAGTTTCCTTCTCTCTTTCACTCGTGTGAAATCCAGTTATACATGTTTTACGGGTCTTAAGTCCCAGAGAGACAGAGAGAGAGAGAGAGAGAGAGAGAGAGAGAGAGAGAGAGAGAGAGAGAGAGAGAGAGAGAGAGAGAGAGAGAGAGAGAGAGAGAGGCAGACAGAGACAGAGAGAGAGGGAGAGCTGTGATCAAGAAGCAGGGTGGATGGAGCAGACACTAAATAGAATTACATTGGTTTAACTTCTTTTCTTTTTTTTTTCCTTTTAAACAAAGTAAATATTGTTTCCAAAACCCTTCAAATGATGTTCAAAATCCACTAAATCAAATGTTTTAGACTAAATACCATTGATTTTTTTTCTTGAAACATGAATAACGGGCCTGGGATATGCTTAATATACAATCCTCCTTAACGCTATACCTGACGATTCGTTAGACCTTTCTGTCCTAATGTTCTCGTCTGCAAATTATAATATAATTTCAAGGGGATTACTCTATGTGACCCGAGTGGGCATGAGCAGCCCCTTAACCCATTGCCGCCGGGGAAAATGAACAAAAAATGGGGGGAAATGCAGTACACATTTTTTTTTTTTTTTTTGTGAAATATCTCTGTCCATAGATGGCTCTGCTAGTCCTGATTTCACCTTTCCTTAAATTGGCGGGAAAAAAAACGTATTTTTACTAGTGCTATAAATATAGATGGCGTTATTTTTAACAGCAAATTAGGATAACGTTAAATATTTTCGTAAATCGATGACAAGGGTGAACGGGCGAGACAGGCAGTACTCGTAATTGGCTCATTGGATACTTAGTACAAGTGTAGCCATCTATGTGTAAAAACAATCGAACAAATCGACTCACAGTGGGCATGGCATGTACGTACGTGCCATCCCCGGCGGCAATGGATTAAGCAATTGGGTAATTTGCCATTCAAAAATTCCATTAAGAGACAATGAATCAGGTGAGAAAACCTTACAATTTACGATTTATAGATAGAATAACATGATTCATATTTTACAATCTTAAAATAATATGCTTTACATTAAGAAGTTTATCTCTTTATAAACGACTTTTTTTTAATCAAAAATTAATTTGAGATAAAACGTTGTCATCGATGTTGGCTATCGTGATCGTGCTAAAGCTGCCATTTATACAGTAACACCACATATATATTTTGTATAATGTTAGCATTGGGCAAAACACATTATGTTAATGACTAATATTAATTATTAATTACTAATATTAATTGTCAGTGAAAATATTTGTGAAATATCACGAACTAATCAGAGGTTTTGTTACAAACAAGAGCATGCCATTCACAGAACAATGGATAATATGCATGTATTACCAGAAAAAAAAAATCAGTCCAGGGGTGTACCCGTTGGAAATGTACGTACTAATCAAAGTTTCTGAACCCTCCTTCTTCCCAACATATACACTGTATTCTTTGCAAATCGGATTTTCCCACGCTGCTAATCTGCTGAATTTGAAAACAACCAACTATGCGTTTCATGGGCCTTGACCCGTCGATCCCCCCCCCCTCCCCACCTCTCTCTCTCTCTCTCTCTCTCTCTCTCTCTCTCCCTCTCTCTCTCTAGGACTTAAAACCCGTAAAACATGTATAACTAGATTTCATGCGCGCGCGTGTGTGCGTGTGTTTGTGTCTTTGTGTATGTGTGTTTGGTTGTGTGTGTGTGTGTATGTGTGTGTGTGTGTATGTGTGTGTGTGTGTGTGTGTGTATGTGTGTGTGTGTGTATGTGTGTGTGTGTGTGTGTGTGTGTGTGTGTGTGTGTGTGTGTGTGTGTGATGCAATAAAGAGAGAGAGAGAGAGAGAGAGAGAGAGAGAGAGGGAGAGAGAGAGAGAGAGAGAGAGAGAGAGAGAGAATGTAAGTGCAGGAGGGAGGGAGGGGAAGGAGAGAGCAGATTTGTAGACGTCACAATTACCCCACGCTTAACGTGTCCGAATGCCTTAGCTGAATGAAGTTATATAAGTCAAGAATAAATGTCGTAATTATCTACATTTGACAATGTAGACAATTACTGTTCATTTAGAGGACCTTTGCGAAAAACGATGGATCAATGCTTTGTAACTTCTAAGGGAACTAGCGATTCGGTGCCTAGTTACTTTTTACAGTTACACAGGGGATCAATTTCGCACCGAATCTTATAATCATAGCAATCACCAGGTAACTTCTAGAAGGGTACATTTCCTGCTCATGACGATGGGGTTTTATAATTAGGATTACTGTACTGCATCCGCTCTGGCAACCGTGAATCCGTGGCGAATATTGTTCAGTCGTAGCTAATTCGAACAAAAGATAAAGTGTACAGGGATAAAATGAGTCACTATTATTTTATCAGTTTATATTTGATTCTTCACAGCCGCCACATAAGGTATGGATTTCACAAGATTTGTATACATGTTTTGGCGACTCCGGATTCCCTCCTACACTTTATCGTTGCTTTGATTATAATTATGCTATAATGCGACACTGAACCTTGGCATTATGGCTTCCTTATCCGTCAGTCACGCCGTGTATAGTCACATACACAAGGCAATAATGTGGTAACATAGTCATGTAATACTATGTGCTAATAACATTTCGTGTGCAAATGTTCGAGACCCTGACCCCGACGCCGCTCTTCGCTGACCCTCCAAGCCAATCCTCATGTAGCCGTCGCGCAGACTGGTGCCGGGGTAGAAAAAAAAAAAAACGTGGCAGCACATACTACTACGAACGTGACTTGAAGCCTTGCACAGCAGTTTGTAATCGGTGCAGGCAGGCGACGACTTGTATATACTTGTTTTGTGACCGGATGCCCAAAAGGCATGAGGAGAGGAGGAAACGGCAGTCAGACCCGAGCTCTGTTCCATGAAGGTGTGTGGATGTCGAATGGAAGGCGAAATCACCGTTTAGTTTTTAGCAGTGATTTGCAACTGGCTGAAACTGTGATAAGTGAGAAAACATATATAACGTACGGCTTAGTTGAGCAGAAACTAGATCATTTTAGTCAACCTAACTACTTAAAAGAAAAAAAAAAAAAGTGAAGAAATATAAACTACGTCTCTGATGAAATTATGGTATGTAAATATTTTTCTCTGCAACGCGATTAGTATTATTTGTACTTTTTCTTCATCTCTTCTTAAGATTTACAAACATGTGGCCATTGTTTTGTCGATCTCTTGTCTGTCGGTTTCGTCTTTTGTAAATGATGTATATCATACTAGAATCGCTGCACTTTGTGAACAAAATCTTTTATACCGTACTGCGAAAAAGGCAACTTGGCACCTTTTGATGTTAAAGATTCCTTCGAATGAAATACTTAATAAATCCCTACCTGGTACCTATGCTGCGAGAAAACGATCCCGTGTTAATATCCTTGCAGATATTTATACAATAAGGGTGCGTATGCTCTCCCAGGCAAAGGCAAACGCGCGCGCACACTCACTCACTCAATCTTTCTCTCTCTCTCTCTCTCTCTCTCTCTCTCTCTCTCTCTCTCTCTCTCTCTCTCTCTCTCTCTCTCTCTCTCTCTCTCTCTCTCTCTCTCTCTTTCTTTCTTTCTCTCTCTTTCTCTCTCTCTTCTCTCCTCTCTCTCTCTCTCTCTCTCTCTCTCTCTCTCTCTCTCTCTCTCTCTCTCTCTCTCTCTCTCTCTCTCTCTCTCTCTCTCTCTCTCTCTCTCTATGTCACGGTTGGTTAAGCTAATGACAGTTACTTTTCTAAAGAGATTGTTAACTTTTTTGAGTAGGCGCTTGCGATGTAAGATCTAATTTATTTCCATACTTTATTTATTAAAGCACAGTTGAATTAAGTTACTTCAACATATGCAATATGATTTTGTCTCATTACTTTTATATAATCTATAATATCTATTTTTGTTTAAGTCCACCTAACTGTTTCACTTCCCTTCTGATTCAAATCTTACCCAACAAAAGATTCAAACTGCGAAAAAATAGTCACTGGAACACACCCCATGTAGCATTGTAGTCTCATGCGATCCTACGCTATTGTCCATTCCCTCTCTGGCAGTTAGCAGTGCTCCTCGCCCGAGGTAAGCTTCAGTCAAAATGTAAAATATTTACTTATTTGTATACAGGTGGTACGAAAATCATACATTCGGT